GGGCAGAAAAATGTGGTATTTGAAGAGCAAGACCTCAGTCCCTCTCCCAGACAAGGCAGAAAGATCAATTAGGAACGTTGAGACTGTTTCCTTGGCATGCAGAGATGGACTGCTCTGAGATTTAGGGAAGGTGAAAAACAGAGTCAATCCCCCCAAAACAATGAGATTCCCCATGCAGGGTGATCAGAAGGGTTCCAAAAGCCTTGCTTGCCCAAAAACATTTCCCTAAATTGGCTCAATAAGGTGCCCAAAATCCCAACAATAGCCAAGTCTCTGGGTAAAGGGCCACACCTACCGACATCCCCCCTGACACCCAAGCATCTTTTCTGCAAACACACCAACTGGCCTTTGCTCAGCTGTCAATCCTTCATGAAACTGCAAACTATCCATAGTTTAAACATTAGTTAGCTCTGGCCGGGTGGAGAGTAACGACACTTTCAAAGAAAGCATCACTGACCACTGTCTGTATATCATGGTCACGTTGCATGCTTCCTGGGGTTGGGGGATCAGCGGCAAACATCCTCTGGCTCTGCAACTGCCTTGGTGAGCAGGTCACACATTCGTGAGGTGGCAGGGGGTAAACTCAGGCCATTAAGTCAGAAAGCACGCACTGGGCACTATCACATGCAAGGCCCTGAGGATGGAGGTGAGTGGAACAAGGCTGCAGCCCCAGGAAGCTCCCATGGTGAGAAGAGAGGCAGAGGATAAACGATCTATGCCAGGTGTTGGCAAGAGCTATAAACAAAAGTAAAGCGGAAAATGTGTGTGTGTGTGTGTGTGTGTGTGTGTGTGTGTGTGTGTGTGTGTGTGTCTAGATGGTGGGTAGACGGGTGGGTGGGTGGAGGGATGGATGGACAGATGGACAGATGGATAAATGGATGGATGAATGGGTGAGTGGGTAGGTGAGTGTGTGGATGGATGGATGGATGGATGGATGGATGGATGGATGGATGGATTAATGAATGGGGATAGATAAGTAGGTACATGGATGGATGGACAGGCAGATGGATGGGTGGGTGGGTGCGGGTGGGTGCATGGACAGATAGGTGACAGAAATAAATAGACTTATAGATAGACATAGACATATAGACAGCATTTATGTACAATTATAGATGCACAACCAGGGCAGGCCTCTTTGCTGAGAATTGAATGGAATGAGGAAAGAACCCCAGGCATGTGCAAAGCCTTTACCAGGAAGACAGAAGCACAAACATAAGGCCTTGGGTTGGCAAGGTTCTGGTTACAGAAGAGCAGGAGGCTGTGTGAAGAGAGAGAAAATGGGGTTCGCAAGATCCCTACAGAGCTTTAGGGCCTGTGGGGTATGGCAAAGACTTGACAGTTTTCGTTTGAGACATGTGCAAATCCACGGGTCGCGGGACACGTATTTCTGTGACAGGTAAAAACAAGCACCAAAGAAAGCGCCCACACAGGCATCACAAATGTCAATTCCAGCGAAATTCACACATCAGTCTTACGCTCTGGGAAGATTCTCTGCTTGACCAGATGTCAATCAGGCTCCTGAACATTCTCCTACGCCCATCTGTGCACTTCCTTGTAAAATCCGGTTTCAGCAAGAACCCTGCTAACTCAGCTTAGCAAGAAACCCCCACCATCTTGGACATCTGATCTCCCTTAAGATCTGGTGAGGGTCATCATCCTCCAAAATCCCCCAGGTAATATCTGATACCCTTCAGCAAGTCCTGTTAGGTGGGTTTAGCCAGAATCCCCCTTTCCTCTGATGATCTTTTTAGTAATTTTCCAACCACTGACCGTCCCCCGCAGCCCTGCTCCTGGGCATTGTAAATCTCCTGCTTTCAGATTGAGCCCAATCTCTCTCCCACACTGCAAGATCCCATTCCAACAGTCTCTATCACCCTCATCCTGAATGAAGTCTTCCTCACCATGCTTTAGCAAGTATCATTGGTCATTTCGTTCTTGAACACCCTTAAAAAGTGGACTCACGCCTGTAATCCCAGTACTTTGGGAGGTGGAGGTGGGAGGATCACCTGAGGTCAGGAGTTTGAGACCAGACTGGCCAACACGGCAAAACCCTGTTTCTACTAAAAATATAGAATTAGCTGGGCGTGGTGGCACGCACCTGTAATCCCAGCTACTTGGGAGGTTGAGGCAGGAGAATCACTTGAACCTGGGAAGCTGAGGTTGCAGTGAGCAGAGATTGCACCATTGCACTCCAGCCTGGGCAAAAAGAGCAAAACCTCATCTAAAAAAAAAAAAAAGGTGGAATTGATACTGATTTAGTCAAAGTTCCTCACTAAGCTATGAAAAGGTCTGTTGTACTTGCCTGAGTTCTTCCATGAGGCTGCCTTCGCTCTTTTATTTATTTATTTATTTTGCCTGTTTTGTCACCTTCAATGTGGACACGAGGTTCCACTGCCCACCCCCACTTCAGATAAAAGCTTCGAGGGAGAGCTCCTGACCTGCCCTGAGGTCCCCCCAGTGAGAAAAACCTTAACCACACACAGTCTGCCTGTTTGTTTTCTGCGCAGCGCTGGCTCATGGAGAATCATAATGCTCTTCTGCATCTAATCACTAGTCTGCCGGACGCCTAGCAACTGGCCTGCACCTCTGAGGGCCCTTCCTGGCACTGGCGCTCCATCCTCATCATGGCAAAAGTCTTTGCCTATGTCAGCAAAGCACTGGAAATGTTCCTAAACCACACGCACAAAATGTAATACTAACACGATTTATCATCGTCCCACATGCCACACACTTCATGCTTCTGAAAAGTCTGCTTACAAATAAAAACTGGATACACAAATCGTTTTCACCATTCAATCAGATACATCTCAAAGGCAGCAGCAAAATGACCTCCCTTTCTGCAGGCACCTGCAGGCAAATCGCCACGTATCACCTCTTATAAACGCAAGGGTCGCAGAGCTAAAGAGATCACCTGTCAGCCTCCAGGATGCTTCAGTCCTGGCATCTTTCCTGAGGGTAAAATCACAGACAATGATACAGACCGTGTTTCTTTACTGGATTTTAAAACAAAAATACCAAGTGCAGCATAATCTCAACTAAGCAGGCCTACTGTCCCATGTGTTCCCAGCTGGTGGCTGACAGTGTCTTCCCCTTTCCACGGCCTCACAGTATGGGAAACAGAAAGGATCAAAGTGTGCATTTTAAAAAGGAAAAGATGAAACACAGTTCATGTCACTGTTCTTCAGCCGAACATATGAAATGGCATCCAAGCAAGTGATACTTAGGCAGTGAGTTCCAATGCCTCGGCCATGCTTAATTACACAGAAAGATAATCTGGGCCGGGCATGGTGGCTCACGCCTGTAAACCCAGTACTTTGGAAGGCCCAGGCGGGCAGATTACGAGGTCAGGAGACCGAGACCATCCTGGCTAACACAGTGAAACCTCATCTCTACTAAAAATGCAAAAAATTAGCCATGCCGTGGTGGCACATTCCTGTAGTCCCAGCTACTCGGGAGGCTGAGGCAGGAGAATCCCATGAACCCGTGAGGTGGAGGTTGCAGTGAGCAGAGATCGCGCCACTGCACTCCAGTTAGGGCAACAGAGCAAGACTCTGTCTCAAAAAAAGAAAAAAGAAAGAAAAAGAAAAAGAAAAAAAAAAAGATAATCTGTGTTCCTTAAAGAATTCAGTTTAAATTTCTAAATTTAAAAAATACAATGAAAATGCTAGAACATTTTAGGGGAAAAGGATTAGAAGATACAGATATACACAGGTTAATCTTCTTAAGCAAGATGCAAAACCCAAAAGTCTCAGTGGCAAAGGATTGAAAAATTCTAGTCCTACTAATAAAATATTAATAAAGAGATAATATCCCTGTTATGCTAAGGACTTCCACTAACACAGCCATATGCAAAACTGCAGGGGCACTCGCTCTACACAGAAATCATGCCCAGCAGTGATGGTCCAGGCCTGCAGATGCAGAAAAGGATACAGACATAAAATTCACAGAAGGGCCAACGAGCATAGTAACTGATGCTTGACACTCACTAGCAGTCCCAAAAATGCCAAACAAATCCTCGGCAAGGCAGTTTTCTTATCGGCAGGTTGGGAAAAGGCAAAGTTATGTGAAAGAGTTGTTAAGTATAAATTGCTACAACATTTTTGGAAACTAATCTGGCTATACTTGGTAAATTACATTTTTAAAGAACTCTGTCCTACAGAAAAAAAGCATTAGGCTGGGGGCAGTGGCTCACACCTGAAATTCTAGCACTTTGGGAGGCCAAGCTGGGTGGATCACTTGAGTTCAGGAGTTCAAGACCAGCCTGGTCAACATGGTAAAACCCTGTCTCTACTAAAAATATAAAAATTAGCCAGGCATGGTGGTATGCACGTGCAATCCCAGCTACCTGGGAGACTGAAGCAGGAGAATCACCTGATCCTGGGGAAGTGGAGGTTGCAGTGAGCCAAGATCATGCCACTGCACTCCAGCCTGGGCAACAGAGCAAGACTCCATCACAAAAAATAAAAAAAGAAAAGAAAAATCAATAAATAAAAGCATCACATAATGATATATGTATAAAAAAGATACTTACTCCAACACCATACAAGTGAAAAACAATAAAAACAACAGAGTTTCCTAGTTAAGAGTTTAAAGGTACATCTGTACCATGGAATATTATATGGCTACCGTAAAGAATTTATCTAGAGGCATGTAAATATCCCAGATGTAAATATCCCAAATGAGAGAAGTAAGTTAGGCTAGTCATTCAGTATTCAGTGGAATACTCTGAGGCAGTTTAACTAACTGATGAATCTACATGCATTCACAGGGATAAACCCGGGAAACATAATCACGACTGAAAAAAATGGTTACCAAAAGATGCATACAGTAGCCCTTCCATTTACATCTATAAAACACACACACAAACATCCACACCAACAATAACAGCTACATTGTTTGGGTATATAATACATACATAGGTAGTGAAAGTACAAAGACAAACAATTAGGATACACACACACCCCCCACCCCCCACCCCCCACCCCCCACCACTGCACCTGCTTTGGGTAAAGGTTGCCCCTGGAGAGGAAAGAGGGGGTACGATGGTTTGAAGGCTGGGTGTGGTGACTCACGCCAGTAATCCCAGCACTGAAAGAGGCGGACGCAGGTGGATCACCTGAACTCAGGAGACAGAGGCCAGCCTGGCCAACAAGGCAAAACCCCGTCTCTACTAAAAATACAAAAGCACAGTGTGGTGGTGTGTACCTGTAATCCCAGCTACTTGGGAAACTGAGGTAAAAGAATGGCTTGAACCAGGAAGGTGGAGGTTGCAATGAGCCGAGATCACAGCTGTGCATTCCAGCCTGGGAGACAGAGTGAGACTCCATCTCAAAAAATTAATTTTTAAAAAAAGGAAGTGTTGCTGGATCCATAATTTTTTTTTTCTTTCAGAAATCTGAAGCAAAGATGGCAAAATGTTAATTAACATTTGCTCAATCTGGGTGGTGGGTACATGGTAATCTGTTCACTTATTTTTTCTACGCTCTTTGGTAAGTTTGAAATCTTACATGATTTTTATAAAATTAACCAAAGGCATAAAAGATAATGGTGCTTCAGGAAACTGCAGAGTTAGAACACACAGGAAAGGAGACCCTAGGTCCCAGCACCCTATGGAAAATCCAGATTGATATGCAGCATCCCAGCACAGCAGCTCACAGGCACACTCAGAAGTCCAGCCCAAGGTACTGATCCTCTCTGAGCCTGTATCCTCATCTGTAAAACAGAGATGGTAAGACCACAACTTCATGGGATGATAAAGAGATTCAATGAGAAGATGGAAATTCTACACTCGATTCTTAGTGCAGTGGGTAAATAGTAACTGCATGGATGAAGCGATAGATGCTACCATGAAACTGTTCAGGAAACATGACAAGAACTCAGAGGCAAGAGATCTAAACTTTGCCAGCCAAAATCAGGCACCAAACCTTCACAAAGCAGCCACATTTGAGTCTTCTTTCAGGAGTGGGAATCTTCCCCAGTAAACTTGTCCATGTACCCAGAGTACACAAGCAACATGGTTAGAACCTAACAAAAGAGGCCGAGGGGTCCTCAGAATGGCCTCCGGATGCTGGCCAGACAGTTTTAATAACTTTTGCTATGTAACCCCTGTCCCCATTATTTCTTGGAGCTGATTTGATGGAGGACTTATCAGCCATTCCCATGAGGAGGAAATACCACTTAACAAGGTGACAATTAACCGCTAATGACGATGGAAGGAGGGAATAAAGTCCCTGCTCTCACATGTTAGGAGGAAAACATAAAAATAAAAAACAAGAACCAGAAAACACTGAACAAATCAAAACAAGTCACTCTAGAACAGAGCAGGCTGGACACAGTGGCTCACGCCTGTAATCCCAGCACTTTGGGAGGCCGAGGCAGGTGGATTATGAGGTCAGGAGTTCGAGACCAGCCTGGCCAACATGGTGAAATTCCATCTCTACTAAAAACACAAAAATTAGCTGGGCATTGTGGTGCATGCCTGTAATCCCAGCTACTCAGGAGGCTGAGGCAGGAGAACTGCTGGAACCCGGGAGACAGAGAGCAGAGGTTGCAGGGAGCGAGCGGAGCCTACACCACTGTACTCCAGCCTAGGCGGCAGAGCAAGACTCCGTCTCAAAAAAAAAAATAAACACACACACACACACACACAGCGTAAAATGTGGTGGTATCCTAAGAAGCTGGAGCCAGAGCTGGTGTTTGAGAGCTGGGAGAGGCAGGGCCAGGCCTGGCTGTGGACAGATGTGCGAAGGGCCCTGCAGTGGGCAGATAACCGAGAGCAGGCAGAGTCCCCATGGGGAAAGCGAGCAGGCGCACACAATGGGCTGCAGCAGCGACTGTGTCTCACTTTCTGTGTCTCAGCTTGTCTTAACATCTTTACTGCTAACAGGATCCTGGCATCACCAGGACAGCCATGTGGCCATTGGCTAGCTGCTCACCAAACCTGTTTCCTTCTCTTCCCAGGCACAGAGCTAGACTCTAGTTCCCAACCTTGCAGGTATCTGCAGCCCCACATGACTGGGCTCCATCAATGGAGCCTAAGTAAATAACATGGCCACTTCCAGGCTGGCCCACAGACATCTTTCACACATGACTCGCCATTCTAGTTCACCACCTGCCCGCTGAATGCAGAAGATCCTGGAGGAAGACAGTCCACAAGATACAAGGAGCTCAGGTCTCAGTCCCCACGCAGAAGACCTACTGCCAAACAAAAATATCTGTGTGATCCCTGATAAGAGAAAAACAAAGGCTTATTTTGTTAAGCCATTAAATTGTGGAGGTTCAGCCAGCCACGGTGGCTCATGAGTATAATCCCAGCACTTTGGGAGACCAAGGTGGGCGGATCACTTGAGATCAGGAGTTCGAGACCAGCTTGGCCAGTATGATGAAACCCCATCTCTACTAAAAACACAAAAATTAGCCAGGCCTGGTGGTGCATGCCTGTAATTCCAGCTACTTAGGAGGCCAAGGCAGGAGAATCACTTGAACCAGGAGGGGGAGGTTGCAGAAGGAGAAGCCAAGATCATGCCACTGCACTTCAGTCTCGAATGAATGAATGAATGAATGAATGAATGAGGTTTGTTTGTTACAAGAGCTAACATTGGCCTCTTGCACCAAATTATAGAAGTACAGTCCACAAAATCCCTTTCAGCTGGAGGTAGCCAATGAGACTCCAGCCAAGCCATCCTGTGAGGCTTACCAAAGAACTCTTGCAAAGGGGATGATTCAGCTCTCAGGCAGATTCTTTTGTCCCTTGCCCAGGAGAGGTCCTGGAGTGAGAATGTGATGGCTGGATCCCCAGTAGTCAGCTTGTGACCTTAAGGACGCAGTTTCTTTCTAATGGTGATGGGACAGAAATAAATAGAAAGAAGCCAGGGTTTCTTGAATCTCTATAGAGCCCCCATACTAGCCTTGCAGACCCTATTTTTAAAATTATTTTACATGAGATGATAAAAAACTCACAATCTATTTATGCCATGTTAGTCAAAACACTGTTCCTACCAATTTGTCTGTTACTATCAGCCAATTTCACCTCTTTAGTAAAAGTGGCCATAAAGATGACCCGGTTAGACTGCAGGCACTGTGTCACTTTGAAGAGTGGTGGGAGGTAGGGTGGGTCATGGTAACACAGAGCCATTATCATAAGGCACTGAAGACTAACAAAGCACAAACCCTTGATGTCTAACACCTTACATAAAGCACAAAATAGTATCTACGCTGCGGCTGCAAAGTAAATAGATCGGAAATTGATGGCAGGAAAATGATCCTTTAAAAGGATCAACTCATGCCTGGGCCAGTCTGTGAAAGAGGACTGCATCACGTTATGGAATGAGAAGCAGGATATGGTACTTGGAGTGACTTAAGAGCTACTTCCTTCCATTCAGATAATCTCATAGCCAGATAAACAATCCAAGGGAAAGATAATTCAGTGCAGAGAAACACCAACCATTGTCAATAAACAAAGCGGTGCAGTCAGAAAAAGCAGTCTTTTAAAATGTTTTCATTTTTAATTTTTGTGGGTACATAGTAGGTATATATATTTACAGGGTTCACGAGATGTTTCGATACAGACATGCAACGTGTAACAATCCCTTCATGGAGAATGGGGTATCCACCCCCTCAAGCAATTATCCTTTGTGTTACTGACAATGCAATCATAGTCTTTTAGTTATTTTTAAATCTACAATTAATTATTGACCATAGTCATCCCAATGTGCTAATAGTCTTATTCATTCTTTCTATTTTTTGTACAGGTTAACCATCCCCACTTCCTACCTGCCCCTGCCCCCAACCTTTCCCAGTCTCTAGAAAGCATCCTTCGACTTTCGATCTCCATGAGGTCAACGGTTTTGGTTTTCAGAGCCCACAAATAGGTGAGAACACACAATGTTTGTCTTTCTGTGCCTGGCATATTTCACTCATCACAGTGATCTCCAGTTCCATCCACGCTGAAAATGACAGGATCTCATTCTTTCTTATGGCTGAATACTACTCCATTGCGTATAGGTACCACATTTTCATTGTCCACCCATCTGCTGATAGATGCTTAGTTCACTTCCAAATCTAAGCTACTGTGAACAGCGCTGCAACTAACACAGGAAAGCAAATATCTCTTCAATACACTGATTTTCAGAAAGGTCATTCTTAAAAATAAAAAGAGAAACAAGATGCTTTTGACCAAGTGGTCAGTCTGCTGAGTAGAGGAATGGAGACAAAGCACCAAATTAAGAAAATTATAAATTGGAAATTGCAGTTTCCAATTATAAACTTTTCTAATTATAAATGAAAAAAGATTTTTCTGTTACAGGAATTATTTAATTGCTCAATATCCTGCACAGGGAGAGGGCTGTCAGCTGGAAGTGATGGGCTGGGCTGTCCAAAGCTGTCCCCTGTGTGGTATTTCTAATAATCCTTTATTGGGAGGAGACGGGTAAGGGACTTGGTAGAAATTTACTACGAGAGCGTTCTCTGATTCCTTGATTATAAGTCTTTGTAATTAGAGACAGAAAATCTCCTCTGACTTTATTATCGATTCCCTGGCCTCATCATTTAACAGTTATCTGCTGTATCAACCACCCAGATAGAAAGACCAGCAAAAGCGATTTTTCAGTTTGTGAGCAGCCCAGAGAGAACGTGATGAAAACATTATTGCTTAGGAAACAGAGGAAGGCCAGGCAGTGTCAGGGATGGGAGTTTTAACTCTCATTCCTCAGCGATAATTAGTCTGCATTTTGTACATATCACTGGAGCACGCAAGGTAGGCCTTGAAGGAGTAAGCGCCATCCCACGTGATTTCTGTGCAAAACGGGAGGCATGGTTTGGACTGCTTCCACTTTGAGGATTCCCTGGAGAGTCTCCCGTTCTGTGGTGGTGCCTGATGGTAGACACTGTGATCATTATGTTTATCATCAGTAACTTGGTTCCAAATAATTGGACTTTGCTCAGACAGTATGTTTAAGCAAATGCGTTGTACACAGTAAGGTCCAGGCACTAGAAGCTTCTGACGTTGGTAATTTCCATGTGTCCCTGGCAACAATGATCTCATTTCAGGACAAGGCAGAAGGGGGATGAATGTAATCCAGAAAGCCTCTTGGAGCCAGCCTTGCTGTGCACCTAACTAGGTCCTAAATATATACTACATATTTCTGAAGACGAGTTATCAGCATGTCATCAAATTGTGATGGCCTCTCCATGAATGCTCAAAGCAGGAACGCTGATGTGAATAAAAGCTTTGTGAAGGCAGCCACTCCGTTTTACTTTCCACAGGAGAACCTCACATGTAGGGTCCTTGAAGACTGTGCTCAAATTAATTGTCTTATTCTGGACAATCTCAACCTTTTTTTTTTTTTTTTTTTTTTTTTGAGGAAGAGTCTCACTCTGTCTCCCAGGCTGGAGGGCAGTGGCACAATCTTGGCTCACTGCAACCTCCACCTCCCAGGGTTCAAGCGATTCTCCTGCCTTAGCCTCCCAAGTAGCTGGGATTACAGGCACATGCCACCACACCGGGCTAATTTTTCTATTTTTAGTAGAGATGGGTTTCACTAGAAACACCATTTAGTAGAGATGTTGATATGTTGGCCAGGCTGGTCTCAAACTCCTGACCTCAAGTGATCCTCTCACCTTGGCCTCCAAAAGTGCTGGGATTACAGGCATGAGCCACTGCACCCAGCCTAATCTCAACTTCTTCTTATCTCAGTCTCCAATTTTAATGATAGAACAGAAAGAGAGGAAGCTTGGCGGTGCAATGCAGACAGAAGGAAGGGGTCTGAAAAAGTAATCTGCAAAAATAGTTCTTGGCAGAAACCCTAGGGGAACCACTGCCTCCCCAGACTCCGAGGTTACGGGAAGACCTTCCTGGAACCCCTGTCAATTCCCCAAGCTTCCGTGAAGCTCACAACAGGACATTTGCACTTCTCCATCTGTTTGTACATTTGGTTAGATTGCACAAACCAAAACTATTAGCATGTCCATTACTGAGCCATCTTTTCCCACTGGAATAGCTACCATGTTGAATGTGAAGACCACCAACTGTGAGACATGGATGACACAGAAATCATCAACTTCAACCACCTCATTTCCCAGAAAAGAAACTGAGGTCAAGAAAGGAAGAACAGTTTGCCTAAGACCAGTCACTTGTAACACTGAGATAATTCAGTCCCGTGCTTTCCCCAAACAAGATATCCATGTCCATCTGAGAGTTCAGCCCACCCTCGGCTCCCCACTCACAGGGAAGGGAGCAGCCTCATGATGGTCCTGCGTTGATGCCAACAGCCTCTGAGTTTAGCGAGCAGAGCTGGGCGATGCAGGGCCTCGGGAGCAGGTCAGGCCTTGATCCAAATCCCAACACCAGAGCTAGTCAGCTGAGCAGGTTTGGGAAATGACTTAACTACCCTGAACTATAATTGCCCCTTACACAGAATAGGGACACTATTCCCTTTCTTAGAATCGCAATAAACATTGTGTGCTCACGTATGTAACAGGCACATCTTCAGGCTTCATACAGAGTGGCCAGTTGGCTAAATGTCTTCTTCATGAGTTTGTAAGAGAAAATTCACACTTGTTTCCATTTCCAAAGCTTTACCTCCACAAAGCGCATGACAAGAGATCCCCGTTCATCTCAGTGTACTACGGGGAAAAAGGCTTATTATCTATTCTTGCCCAGATTTAATCATATTCATCCCAAAAGGCTCATGAGTATCTAGCCCTGGGGGAAAAATCATTACAATAATATATTGCCTTAAGGGCTTTCTTCATGATTTTTCCAAGCACTCATAGTTTTATTTTATATTTGCTTAAAAGAGACTTTCTTGCTCAGCCACCATGAACAAAATTTGTGTATGACCTCTGTACACAGAGTAAGGGACTATTCGGCTTTGTGTGGTTCATATCTGTGACCTTCGAAAACAGACTCACAGATTAATAAATGCTCCTGAATGCCAGCCATCTACAGCACATACGCCATCTAAATCAAGCAAACTCATGGTCAATATAAACCATGCCATCTGGAAATACGGACTCACAGGGAGGGTATCCCCCTTGTCCCAGTTTGCCAGGACAGTCCCAGTATAATTATTCCTAGTGCCCCTTTGCACCCAGAAAAGTGTGCCAATGTGGACAAGATGCTCCATAGTGATTATACATGCCGTTCATTTATGGCAGGTCCCCACGGGTAAGATGTCCTCAGTAAAGAAGAATGCATGAACCCTGACCCAGCTGTGCCGTCCTGGTTGGGCAGGTGGTCCATCATCTCTGAGGATTTGTTCCCTCCTACGAAAAAAATGAGCATCGTGTTACCTACTCTGCAAGGTGATTTTAACATCAGAGATGTGCCTTGCAGGGTGCTTGGGACATCTGTGCCTCACAATGCAGCTATGATGATGTGAGTGAAGAAGAGAGACCAAGCACAATGGCTCACACCTGTAATCTCCGCTCCTTGGGAGGCCAAGACGGGCAGACTGCTTGAGTCCAGGAGTTCAAGACCGGCCTGAGCAGCAAGTTGAAACACTATCTCTATGAAAAATAAGAAAATTAGCCAGGTATGATGGCATGCACCTGTAGTCCCAGCTACTCAGGAGGCTCAAGCAGGAGGGTCGCTTGAGCTTAGGAGTTTGAGGCTACAATAAGCCATGATCATATCACTGCAATCCAGCCTGGGTGACAGAAAGAAACCCTGCCTCCAAAAAGAAAAGAACAATGAGGATTTCATCACTTTACCTCTTGAGAACTGTTAGGTTATTTGCAACATCTGACATTCGCAGATCATTTCACCTTTGGCAAGATGCCTCCCTACATATTATAGGTGTGGTTTTTAAAATCAGGAGGTGGGCTTAGCTCCTGTGAGTCTCTTCCAGCTCTAAGTGCTTATGGGTCTACTATTCCAACTCCTGCTGGCCACAAATGTACCACACCTTCCAGCAAAGACAGCAGCAGTCCCTGGAAACACCCTTGTCTGTAATACGGAATTCTGTCGGCACTTCTTCCGCAACCACCTGACCTTTCTCAGATTTCCTGCACGCAGAATAAATGTAATTCTTCCTTTAGGATGATCAGTGTGATCCGCTAACCAGGCACTTCATTCTGAGGGGGGTTTGTACATTCATCCTTATGGCAGTTTCCTACCTAGCATGTGCTGCTACGTGACAGTCAAGTGTTAAGACATTAATATGCTTCTTCTTATATGACCATAGTTACGTCTGCGGGCTTTTGAGTCACACAATCTAGAACATTCCTTGACTAACTAGCTATGTCACCTTGGCAAATTACTTAATTCCTCCAGGGAGGTAACATCACCTCTAAAATGGGACTCCTATTACCTACCTCATCGGGTTAGTGCTATGATTAAACGGGTTACTGTGTGAATACCGCTGAGAACGGCGTCTGGAATTGGTAAGAACTGGGTAACTGTTACTTGACTTGTTGTTGCTATTGACGGCCAAATTAAAAAGGTTTTAAAAATCAAGTGCCAAAAAAAATTATATTACTATTTGTTTTAAATAGAGGGGACATCCGACTTGCAGGACCAGATGAGATGGAGCAAGCCCACTAAACATATGTCACCCACTAATTACAGGTACAATTTCTGCAGCGAATACAAAAATCACCTCCTTGAGGTTCTGCAAAGAAAACAGTATCAGAGAAAGAGAGAAGGACGCCAACAGCTGAAGAAGCATCCACCGGTAAATTTCCCGGATTAATTTTTCCTCCTTTATCTCTTGACTTTGATCCAAAAGCAAGTCAAAGCTGGGCCCGGTGGCTCACGCCTAGAACTCGGGCAGTTTGGTAAGCCGAAGTGGGAGGATCATTTGAGGTCAGGAATTGGAGACCAGCCTGACCGGCATGGTAAAACCCCCGTCTCTACTAAAAATACAAAAAAATTAGCCAGGCGTGGTGGTGCATGCCTGTAGCCCCAGTTACTCAGGAGGCTGAGGCAAGAGAATAGCTTGAACCCGAGAGGCAGAGGTTGCAGTGAGCTGAGATCACACCACTGTACCCCAGCCTAGGTGACAGTGCGAGACTTTCCTTCAAAATAAAAAAGCAAACCAAGTCAAGGAACTCCACACTGGAACAAGATGACAAAATTCCAAGAGAAATCCCCTTTTTCTGGCCAGAGGACTGGGACAAGCAGTCTCTGAAAGTGAAGAGTCAGATGGAAGAGCCCAGGTGTTGTGTTTTGTTTTGTTTTTTGTTTTGTTTTGAGATGGAGTTTCGCTCTTGTTACCCAGGCTGGAGTGCAGTGGCGCGATCTCGGCTCACCACAACCTCCGCGTCCTGGGTGCAGGCAATTCTCCTGCCTCAGCCTCCCAAGTAGCTGGGACTACAGGCGTGCGACACCATGCCCAGCTAATTTTTTGTATCTTTAGTAGAGACGGGTTTCACCATGTTGACCAGGATGGTCTCGATCTCTTGACCTTGTGATCCACCTGCCTCAGCCTCCCAAAGTGCTGGGATCACAGGCGTGAGCCACCGCGCCCGGTGGTGTTTATTTTTTTTTCTTTTTTTTCTCTCTTACTTTCTACCTGCCCTGCTCTAAGGCCAGCCCTAGTCATGAAGTTACATTGCGGCTCGGTAACATGAGCCCCTGAAATCCCCAAAATTACCCTTCTGCCTGGACAAAGAAAGTGGGAATAAAAGGAGCCAAATGGTCTAGACATGTAAGGGAGTTTTGATTTTTTTTTAATTTTTATTATTTTTTGTTTGAGAAATGGGGTCTTCCTACATTGCCTAGGCTGGTCTCAAACTCCTGGGCTCAGCAGATTCTCTCACCTCAGCCTTCTGAGTAGCTGGGACTGCAGGTGAGGGTCTGATTTTTTTTTTTTTTTTTATCTTGGACAGAATTTTGCTCTGTCACCCAGGCTTGAATACAGTGATGTAATCATGGCTCCCTACAGCCTCAGGCTCAATCGATCCTCCTGCCTCACCCTCCCAAGTAGCTGGGACTACAAGCATGCACCACCACACCTGCCTAATTTTTGCACTTTTAGTAGAGATAGAGTTTCACCATGTTGCCCAGGCTGGTCTTGAACCCCTGGGCTCTGGCAATCCACCTGCCTCAGCCTCCCAAAGTGCTGGGACTGAGCCGCTACAGCCAGCCTCTGATTATTTTTATCTTCCCTTTCTCTTGTTTTGCTCTGAGGCCAGCCCCAGTTAGGAAGACTTGCAAAACAGCAAAATCATGTATGTGGTGGGGGAGGACAAAGCTCAGAGACACACTCATCTTCTGACGAGAGACCTGGGAGAAGGGACCCCTGAGCTCACGGGTGTGAAGGAAATTCCAGAGAGAAAAGTGAAAAAAACAGATCCTATAAATCTGTCTATGCTTCAGCACAAGTCCCAGGACCACCCAGGAAATGTTCATGTGTAAAACACACCCAAAGAAACATGGCTTTGAGAATTAAACGACATTTAAAGAACCAGGTAAGTCCCATACTAACTCCTGAAAAGTGTACATGTGGGGCGGATACAAACAGCATAGCAAAGGCTCTGAAAAGTAAACTGCAGCTGTTACCACCACTCCCCAAAGGCAGGACAGACTTGCCATCGGAGCTTGATTTGGTTGACTGACTGCTTTTTAAAAAAAAAAAAAAAGGAAAAGAAATGTCAACCTTTTCCAGCCGATTTTAACAGGATTCAGAATCTCATGACATAATGTTCAAAATACACAGAATATAGGCCAGGGACAGTGGCTCACACCTGTAATCCCAGCACTTTGGGAGGTCAAGGTGGGCGGATTACTGGAGGTAAGGAGTTCAAGACCAGCCTGGTCAACATGGTGAAACCCTGTCTCTACTAAACATACAAAAGTTAGCCAGGCATGGTGGCGCTTGCCTATAATCCCCGCTACTTGGGAGGCTGAGACACAAGAATTGCCTGAACCTGGGAGACGGAGGTTGCAGCGAGCGGAGATCACGCCACTGCATTCCAGCCTGGGCAACAAGGTAAGACCCTATCTCAAAACAACAATAGCAACACAGGATATAATCCAAAATTATTCAACATAGACAAAAAGGAAAAGCACAATCAATAGATGCCAATCCCCAGACGATTCGGATGTTGGCATTATCAGACACAACTTTAAAGTACTCCCTAAGTAAGTGGGAAAACTGTTGACATGAATGAGAAGACAGACATTTTTAGAAGTAAAAATCAGGGAAAACATGGGAATTTTAGACTTGAAACACACAATAATTGAAATGTTTTAAAAAATTCACTAGATGGGTAAAAATAACAGAATGTAGATGATGGTAAAAAGACTCAAACTGGAAGACAGAATGATCTTGTAGAGAAAATCAAGACTAGGTGAACAGGGTTTAACAATATCTGTGACAACATCAAAAGATCTAATATTCATGTCACTGCTGTCAAAAACGAGTGAGGAAAGAGACAGAAAGAGGTTGGTGCGGAAACAAATATTTAAAGAAAGAATGACTGGAAACTCCCTATGGAAGGTGAAAGACATTAGGTACAGATTCCAGAGGTTCATCAAATACCAAGCCAAATAAACTCAAAGAAAAGAATACCTACGCAATAACCAAACTGCCAAAACTCAAACATAAAGAAAAAAATATTGAGACTAGCCAGAGAAAATCAACACAGGACCCCTCTCCAGGAAAAAATGACTAGCATGAGTCCAGATTTCTCACCATGAATGATGGAAGCCAGAAGACAATGGAAAAAAACTTTAAAGATTTTAAATTCCATATCCAAAGAAAGTCTACACCCAATAAATTATCATTTAGAAATAAAGGTGAAATGAAGACATGCTCAGTGAAGGAAAAAAAGAGAAAGAGAAAAAGACTTTATCAGCAGAAAATGTTCTCTAAGATAAATGGTAAAGAAAATCCTTCAGGCTGAAGGAAAATGACAGCAAAAGAAAACTTGGAACTTTAAGAATAAAGAGAGAGATAAAGAAATGATGAACAGGCCAGGTGTGGTGGCCCACGCCTATAATCCCAGCACTTTGGGAGGCAGGTGGCTCACAAGGTCAGAAGATTGAGACCATCCTGGCCAACATGGTGAAACCCTGTCTCTGCTAAAAATACAAAAACTGACTGGGCGTGGTGGCATGCACCTGTAATACCAGCTACTGAGGAGGCTGAGGCAGGAGAATCACTTGAACCCAGGAGGGGCAGGTTACAGTAAGCCGAGATGATACTATCTGTCTCTGCTTAACTTCTTTATAATTAGAATGACTGTTGAAAGCAAAAATGTAAATGATGTTTTAATGTATGTAGGTAATAAATATAAAAACTACAAAGAGGAAACAGTAA